CTTTTCCCTAGCCCTCCCCTTATTCTCCAACTCAATTGGATTCTATCCTGCAAAAGAAGAGAGACCTGTCATTAAAAGCAACCAGGTTCTCCTGATATAAGAAGAGAAGAAATGTTTAATGACAATATGGGTTTGCTGTATCTGCTCCCATAGCTTTGCCATAGGAAAAAAAAGTGGAAAGTTTCTTTTAAGGTGGAATTCATAAAAGGGAAAATACAGAGGAAAAAATATCTCATTCCAACTTGTGAATCAGTTCAGGAGTTCAGATATTAATAGTAACAATACAGGAAAAGGGGGAACTCCAACATTGGGATTACTGTCTAAGGCTCGTAGCAAGTGCTTTCTGTGGAATGATCTTGTTTTGCTAACAGAAACGGCTTGCTCCAAATGAACAGTAGTAGGTTGGTGCAGTTCTCATAACAAATAGCAGACCTTATGATGACACAATCCATTAATTCCAGCTGCGTGCATAGTTCGCATTTTTAGAATGTAAAAAATGCAAGCAAAAACAGCTGTAGCAAACAAAGTGTGCTCAAGGACCAAAGATTTAAGAGATAAAAATACCCAAGTAGAAGAGATAGAGTATATGAAGAGTTATTATATTTGTTACACACCAATATACATCAAAGTGCCTGTTGCCTTCGAAAATTTGAAATGGCAAAATTATTTTATGGTTTAATGATTATTTTATTTTATCAGGGACTGCCTCAAGAAGAAAATAAAACAACATATAAGCTTGTGAATGGTGGAGAAAATGCCCTATTTTTTTCTAGGAAAATACTTGTATAAAGTTAACATTGTTGATCTGATATTATCATTGGTACATGTGTTTGTGTGTGTAAATTATGTATGTGTGTGTATATATATATATATATACATTTTATGTGTATATATACACACGGTAGATTGACTATGATCTAGAATAATGTCTCAAATAGGAAATGTTTAAATACTGTGTGTTTTTATGTTTTCAACAGGATAACATGAGATGTGGGCATATTGCAATCATGAATTAAAATCCACATCTAAAAAATTAAATGAAGGAGGGAACCAAGTAATATATTTCATAGGAAGAGCAGAAATTATACAGTTATTGTGGGTTTTTTTTCTTTTTTCTTTTTTTTTCTTTGGTGAGCCATAGAATTCCACAAATGGGAGAATATTTGTTTGGCAGAGCACTCCTTTTTATATTGAACTGCCATTTTGACAGTTTGAACCCATTAATTAAAAAATAATAATTGAATGCCTCCATGATATTTAATCTAGTGGATCATGGATCAGTGATAGGCTACTTAAATCCCTGACTGCTAAAAAGAATTTCTGGTGATCTGAACACTACTAACTAATATTTAAATGAATTTTAATGAATGCATTCTGCGTTTCTGGACCACTAGAATTTAGTAATGTGAAATGACCCTTTTTTAAGAATATTTGCACAATTGCTTAAAATTTATATATGAGATATATATTATATATAACATTTTATAAATCATGTCAATATGAAACATCTTTGATCTGGTTGTCACACTGCATTTAAATATTTAGTACTGTACACTTTCCATTCAATCAAATCCAACTTTATTTTCTTTTTTACAAAAATACCAGTTATACCTTTGTGAAATGAACTGGCATTACTATTTCAGTTCAATGACAGCTAAACCTGAAACCACCCTTTCTCCCAGCCAGTAGTCCCTCTAGACACTGGTCTCTGAAAATGCATTTGTTAAAAATGAAACAAAACTAACACATAGAACCTTCCCTTTATGTCGCGAAACAATCACATAATCTCCACAATCTTAGTGGATGACTGCTTGCTATGATAATTCCTCTAAGACCCAATCAGAAAATTTTCATCAGCAGTAAAAGAGGGACCACAGGAGAAAATAGTATCCTCCTGTTGGCAGTATAGTTTGTTTGTTTATCTGGGGATCTTCAGATGCTTAGTGCTAGGTTAATCCAGGTTAATCTGTCTGGACTACCTTTCGTGCATCTTTCTTTGAAGCCTTAATGGAACCTGATGGTTTTGCTGTAGCAGCTTACCTGTGAATTCTGTCAGAGCTGCAACAGCTCCTGCACTGCCACTCAGTTTTCTAAGGAACTCCTCCTACTACCATCTTGGCTCAGTCTCCCTCACTGCAGTCCTGGGTTTGAAAAATTAATTGCAACTTCCCAGGAAACATTGTTCAGTTTGCAGATTAAGGCTGGCACTCACCTGTCAGAAACCAGAGCTCCACTTGCTTAGTTGTTTCAAAGTTTTCTAAAAGAAAACTATGGAACCACTTGTGAACACAGGAGCAGCTGGTGATCTGCTTTCTCATCCTAACTCTTGACAAATAAGTTGCCTACTATTTTAAAGACTCCGGAGGTCTCTGGCTCTGCCATAACAACAACCTGCTGTTAATTTATGACACAGATTTTTGTTTGGAAGAGCCTTATTTGAAATACACTTTTCATTTATTTTCTCAAATATTTATATTCTTTTCTTGCTTACTTCAGGGTTGGTAGCTTAGTTGGAAGTGCCACTACCTGGCACCTATTCATATAGAGCAGGCTGTACTCAAGACAACTTCCAGCATTTACTTTAAGACTTACGTAATTTATTTCTATTTTGTATGTACTATAGTCTTGTGCATATGTAGGTGAATACACAGTGAACTATATGTCTCTTTTTGTGGATGTGTGGCATAAAAATTTGAATGTCTAGTGAGAGAAAGCCATGTATATAGGTCAGAGGAAAGAACAGCTCTCGACTCCCTATTAGCGCCTGCGATTTCTTTGCTTTTGTGTTTGTCTGGCCTAGTGTGCTGTTTCTTTAAACCAGGAGGAAGTTTTATCTTTTCGAGGCTCTTCTCACCTGTCCAGTCTGGTATGTCAGAGAACACGTAGCCTGTGACAGTGCCATTTTTAAAAGTTTACTTAATTTGCAGTAAATCCAGCTGCCTCAAGAACTCCTACACCAAGATGGACATTTTCCTTCCAGAAATGGGATCAAGTATCTGCTCACTTTGGTATTGGATGGACTAATAATGTAGCTCCAAAAATGCAAGGATGGAAGAATATCTGTAATCCAAGCCACAGAAGGAAATGAAAAGTGAACGTACTGTTTTTACAACCCCTTTCTATTTGCTTATTGTTGGTTGCTTCACTGTGCATAAAGTTTTCAATGCAATGCTTGTTAAATAAATATTGTGAACTATTTTGTAAATGAAATGTATTATGTTGTAAGCTGTCAGCAGTTCAAAAATAAGTTTTTGTTGTTGAAGTGTGTTAGATGAAACCAAAAAGCCAAAAAAAGTAATTTCATATATAGCATCTATTTGAATATAATCTTTCTTTAACATTTCTTTTAGCATAGCCTTTTCAGTGCTAAGAAAGAATCTCTATGTTATATTTTGTTAAACTAATGGCTTTCTAACAAAGCAAATGGTCAAGTACAAAGTTGGAAGATGTCGAGTTAAGGAGACTTGCTGCAAAGCCTTGCAGAATGGAGGAGGCTCTGCCTGCCGGCTGTCTCTCCCTCTAGCCTCTCTACAATCATTACCTGCTCTGAGGCGTCCTGTTGCAGCAAGCTGCACCTTGGGTCACTCTTTTGGAATATTTTGACTATAGGCTGCATCACAGGCAGAAAAGTAGTTGATGGAAAATGGACTAAAAAACTGACATGTTTGAATCAGTGCTAGAGGGAACAGATTGTGAATTTTGTTTACAGCATCCAATATTTGGATTTTTTTTGTAAATAAAAAAGTTATTTTTTTCTATTGATTTGTGTTTGCTGTCTATAATGTCTGTACTGACTAAAGACCATGTCCTTTGAATCCCAACCTATGTCCTTTAGAAAAAACAAAGCGGTACATAGCAAAGAGTAGCCTTCAGCCACTTTCTAATTGAAGCACAATAAATAAAAACATCTAGCTTTCAGCCAGCCCATTGCTGACTGCCTCAATTAGCTCCAAAAGCATCTAGCTGGTAGATGCCAACAAATTTTTTTTTGTCTGGGTATTAATTTAGCAGTGTTAAGATACCCAGAAGTTTGAACTGTTTTCTAGTATCAGTAGAGACTCATGTCTCTGGACAGTAGGGCTGGAGGGAAGCCCTCTGTGGGCCTCAGTCTTCCTGAGTAGCCTTAGGGCTGTGATTCTGTCATCAGTAGTTCTATAGATTCTGTTCGAGGCTCTATAGTGTTTTTCAGTTTTTATGTTGCGGTGAGGGAAATTGGTGGCCAGGAATTGAAAGGGGAAGTATAGAGAAGGAAGAGCAATCAAAAGATCTAGTATGCTGCTGCTGTTGTTGTTCTCTGTGTGTGTGTGTTGGGTACAGGGGAATCACCCTTTTGTCTAGCATTTAATGTAGCCTCATCTATTCACATTGCTAGGGGGCATACTTTTATGTATTCATTGAAATTCTTCTTTGTGTAATTTTGGAGATGGTCTCAATGCTAGTAGAATGAAAATTTGGTAAGCCCATTCTGCTATAGGACATAATGTGGTTGTAAAAACCACTTAAAGTCTTGATGTTGTTTAGAATGCATGCTTGACATTGAGTCTGAGTCACTCAGGGCACTGAAAGCCAACTTCGTTCATATATACAGTACTTGATAAAAATACAAAGTGGTTATTTGGTTTCATGATGGTATTTGTGTGTCATTTTCTTCTTCCTTTGTGCAGCCTCTTCTATAGCCAGTTCCTCACATGTCAAGAACAGTATATATTTAACTTCTCCTAGACTTAGATACACCCTCCCATTTCTAGTTGAATTACTAGGCTGCCCCTCCTAGCTGAGCCTGGAGAGAAGTCATTTACCCTTCCTTTCCTTAGGAACCTCATTTCAAATTTCTAATTTCTTTAATAAGAATAAGAAAAAAATATGACAAAAAAGAAAAATTAATACAGTCTTTAAATAAGAAGAATAGGATTTTTAAAATCAAGTAATTGCAAATTAAACTGTAATTTTCTTTTCAGAACCAAGTTTGAGATCAACAATGTGAATACAGTACCCTTTAGTCTAAGAGCAAATACATCTAAGTAGGAGAGAGGGAGGAGAAATAATTTTAAAATGACAGTGGCTTTTACCTAGTGTAGCTCAGATCTTGGTTTCTAATGCCATTCTCCGATAAAAGAAACTAGAAGAAGTTGAATCTGGGTCTGAAACAGGAAATAGATAAGAGAAACCTGAAGCATCTTGTGGTACCTTGAGAACGCATCAAAAAAAAAAAAAAAAAAAAAAGCAAAAGAAAATCATAATGATGGGGGTGGCAGGGGTATGTCAAAGGGCCATAGTAGACAACTGAAAGAGCTCCAATAGCCAAAACTGGAACAATTTAAGTAACAAAATAAATGCATAGTGATGAATTATAACACAAAGTATAAAGCATCCATGCATTCACGTTGATATGAATGAATAAGTAGAGGGAAAGAAACAAATTTACTGTGCAGAATTTCAAATAATCAATGTAGATATATCCCCTTCAAGTAGGTGGAGGTTAACTACCCACCTCTTAAGTGTGGGCTATGCGTAGTGACTTATTTCCAAAGAGTACTGTCTGGAAAAGGGGAAAAGAAGAGTACTGTACCATTGGAAAAAACGGACAAACACTACCTCAGCCAACTGATCAAGGTCAACATCAATAGTTAAAAGTCATGATGGTAGTATGTGCCCTTGTGATGAGAATGGCACTTCACCTCTGTGGTTTTTTCTCCAGCACTCGTAAAACCTGCCAAATCTTGAGAATAGCATCATCCAAAACTAAATCGTTGGGTATTCTGTAAAATACTGGACCAGTATTCCTTAAATCATTGAAACAAGTAAAGTGTGAAAACTGCAGAATTACATATGCACTGGAGCCTAAGGAGATTTGACGGCTAAATGTAATGTGGGATCCTGGTGGAGTTTGGCAACAGAAAAGGGCACTTGGTTAAAATCTAAATATGAATAAAGCATCATTGAAATAATAATGTTTCAATACCAGCTCATTAGTTGTGACAAATGTACTATTCTAATATATGATGTCAACAAAAAGAGAAACTAGGTAAAATGTATATAGGAACTTTCTGTATCATCACTTTTTTTAAATAAAAGTCTTCTTACATAAAAAGTTTATTTAAAAATGAAGACTGGGCTGGGCACAGTGGCTCACACTTGTAATCTCATCACTTTGGAAGGCCAAGGCAGGCAGATCACAAGGTGGAGAGATCGAGAACATCTTGGCCAACATGATGAAACCCTGGCTCTACTAAAAATACAAAAATTAAGTGGGTGTGGTGGCACACTTGTAGTCCCACTTACCCAGGAGGCTAAGGCAGGAGAATCGCTTGAACCCTGGAGGCGAAAGTTGCAGTGAGCAGAGATCACCAGCCTGGTGACAGATCGAGACTCCATCTCAAAAAAAAAAAAATTAAGACAATAACTCTTCCCTGCTCTTTCTGAGGAGTGACTCCAATTGCAAAAGTAATAGCGAATTTTATTTGTTGATGTCTCAGTACTTACAGTGTTAGGAGATCATGTGAAGGAGTGAAAGTAAAAAGATGTGTTTACTCAAAAGTTTTAGAGAAGTTCTACCTACAAGTTTTAGAAAAAAGGAAGGGAGTTGAAGAGAGCTGAGCTCTATTGGCAAAACTTTCCTATAGAATAATACCTTAGAGTACTATATGACCTTAGCCTTTTAAGGAAGGAGAATGCTAACTATAACAGTAAACCATTATGTAGGTATTTATAACATGGAATGCTAAAATGATTAAGGGGCTAAACTTTCACTGCCTAAACGTAATGCAAAATCTGAAAAACTGAGAACTCATTGCAAGGGAGTAAATGATGTAATTTTTTAAAAATAGCAAGGCAGTCTAACATTTAATGGAATGCTGCAATGAAGTATTATTTAGTGTAAATAATCACTTCTATTACCTATCTGCTTACCTAAGCTTATCTTTTAGCATATTCAGGCTTTCTTAAAGTAGAGGAACACTTGTACTTAAATTTACTTTCCCATCTCAATTACTGTTTGGCACTTGAAATAGTTAAAAATGCGGTTTAAAAAGAAGATACTCTTAGTAATTTGTGAAAGCAAATTCTAGCTCAGAAGTTTACGAAGTTAGAACGAGTCCCGTGCTTTCTTGCTTAAGGACACTGAGCACCTTGAACTCCAGGAATTTATGAGTGTGGGGCTAAGTTATTTCAAACTTCAATAATGGAAAGTTCTCTTCAGGATCCCCTTCAGAAACTATTGATTTTCCAGCACAGTGTGTACTTATCAGTGATGCCAAGATTTTGTGGCATCATCTGGCCATGTCATTAGAAAATACTGAAACCCTATTCCTTTATTTTTTTTCTTCTTTCTTTTTTTTTTTTAAGCAAAATTCAACATACTGAGCTTTACTAGGCCCTGTGGATAATGCTATTCTATGCATTGATCCAGAATTACATATGCACTGGAATTTCTTTTTCTATATGCCTTCAAAGACAGTCAAGAAGAGCATGATTATACAGTCTTCATTTTAATAGGAAGTAAACACTATTAAAATAGTTTAATGATATTTTGAGAAAAGAAGAGAAGCAAATTCTATCAGGTTCAAGGCCTAAAGGCTGAATTAGGTTTGACAAATTCAGTAAATAAAAACACGGTATATCCTGTATTTAATCTAAATTTGATTTCAGATAGACTGGTTTTTGATATAAAATATATATTTTTACAATAAATATTTTATAAAAAATATATTTAAAAATATATGTTATGGAATATTCCACACACACACACACATGCATCCTAAAAACTTAGGTTTCTTTCTGAAATTCAGATTCAACTGAGAGTCCTGTATTTTATCAGGCAATCCTAAAACCCAGCTAGGGTTACACAGTAAAGCTCAAAAAGTTTCCTACAGCTTAAGTAATGGACATTTTATAATTTGTTAGTACCTAACCTTTAGGTACATTGGCATAGAGTACCCATAGCAGCAAACTCTTTGAAACATGGTTCATTCATTAAATATTTGCTGAATGCCTTTATGTATTTAGCCTTATGCTAGCTCTAGAGGGACTCCAAAAAAGTGAAAAGCAAATCTGTATCTTTTGACCAATTTGCTTTTTACAGAAGATGAATAAGTTCTAGAAACCTAATGTACAGCCTGGTAACTATAGTTAATGTTTTGTATACTTGAAATTTGCAGAGAGAATAGATCTTAAGTATTCTTACTATACATGCATACAAAAAGGTAACTATGTGAGGTATTAACATATTACATTGTTTACATATAATTTTTATGAAAATTACATTGTTTTCGTATAATTACATGAATACATACAGTTTTTATTTTATACCTCAATGAAGCTACAAAAAATAAGTGAAGGCCTTGTCCATTGCCCCTTAGAAGATGAGATTCTACTTGCACATAGGACTCACTGCTGAAAAGTAATTTTTCAGTTACCCTTGGGTTAATCACTCATGAAGCTTAGCTCTGCTTGGGGCACCATAAAGAGCCCTGTGGACTAATGGAGAATCAGGATGGGGATAATAGTCCTTGAAATGTACCTTCTTGTGAGCTTACAGAAGTGGAGCTCGCCACAGGTAGCCACTATATAGACAGGCACTGGCTATTTGCTTGTTTTGCAGCAAAGGATAAGGGTAGATGTTTTTCAATTTTTGCTGAGGGAAGCAAATACTTTCCCTGAGTAACTGAACACTTAAATTCTCTTTTCGGAACTACTGCAAAAATCTTTAGGACTTAACTCGAATGTACCTTGAAATTATATTGCCCTATAATCCTGTTTGTGTCAGCACATTAAAATTCCGTTGAATGTTTCTTATGTAACCACTTCTTGTTAACTGTCATCTTGAAGTTAGTACAATTTAGTCTTTGCTGCCTTTTTCATTGCTGTGACAGTCCCTTTCTCAGATTTTAAAATTGCATCAAATTCACCATGTACCCCAAACCTTATTCCACTCCCAATTTATGTAAAACCAATTGTGCTGCCAGTCTGTTTATTTTAGTTAAGGTAGACACCTTATTTAAAGAAGATTTATTACTCTCATACTGATTATTTATGCACTCACTTGAACTGCATGATGGGAGAAATGCTCAGTCTTCACTGTCATCAAAACATTCAGTAAATAATTTTTCCTGTGTTTGGTTGATACTATGCGAAGATTTACAAAGACTTACACAATACTGGCTTCTTTTCACTAGAAGCTGAAATTGAAAATTTTACACAGTTATATGGACAATACAACATAAAACAAAAGTGCAATTACTTGGCCAGATCAATGTAAGTGTGGCCAAGCTCATTTCCACTTCATAGTATATGCTGGTTGTTCCATCGCCTTAGTATTCTCTACATCCACATCTTTGCATTTTGTGTCTCACTCTATGATTAATTTTGTTGCTGTTGAAATGTTACTTTCTCAGATTTTTTTCTGATGCTCTTTTTTAAAATAGAGTTTTCTCCAACATTTGTATGAAATTACTCTCTACGTCCTTTACTTGGTTTTTATATCTGCGTTTTTGTATATGCACTTGTCACTACCTGAAACTGTATTATAGATTCATTTTTTTGTTTATGGTTTATTTGTTACCATAGAATGAAATTCCATAAAGGCCTCAAATTTGTCTTCTTTGTTACTACGTTGTGTTTGAAATAGTGCCTGCTACGTAAGAGGTGCTTGTTAGGTTTTCATGAGTCAATGAACAAATCTCATTTGGTTCAAAATGAAAGGTGAGGTGAAATGTTTAATTGGGAACATGTTAAAGAAGATGTTAAAATGGTGAAGGAAGAGTTAGCAAGAACACTGTTAAAATAAGAGAAGAATCTCAGAGATTGCCTGCTTGTTGAAAAAGAATGGAGAACCCAGGTGGAGAAATTTCAATTTTGAATCAAATTAGAAGTACTGAACAGTAGGAAAGAGATATTTTCAGCTGAGTTGTTGAGGGTGGGGTATTTGAACGAAAGAACCTGCTGCCTCTTTTTGGTTCCTGAGTTTAGGAGTTGCGAACAGTGGGCCAACAGCATTTGTTGTGGCATGGTACTCAGGGACATACCTCCTAGCACACACAGGTCTGTTAAATGTTCCAAACCAAATCTGGAAGTCTGGTAAAGTGAGGACTGCAGTTGTCCTGGGTAGGGACTATACTTTCTTTCTTTTCTTCTTCTTCTTTTTTTTTTTTTTTTAATCTTTTGCTACAGTTCTCAGAACTAGGGGATCCCTGAAAGAAATTTTCAAGACATAGAGCACAAAGACCAAGGTCTGTTTGTTATATTTTGGGTAAAAATAGAAGTATTATTCAGGAAGTGCACTTTGTTATTTGAGGAAGGGAAATGAAAGGACAGTTGTTCATTAGCCTTTGCTAAAAAGCAACAATCAGTATTTCCAGTGGCATCCTTAGCTGGTCAAGCCTCACAGAACAGTCTGGCCCTGGGGCATTATACCTGTTGTGCCCATTCGTTATGGGTTTTTCATGAGTCTCCCAATTTCAGAAGGCGGCCTTGTTGTAAGACCTTGTGTCTTCCATGCTATGGCATATTGTCATGATAAGGCTTCTAATTTTACCTACTGTTTTATAATTATTGAATAAGTTAGGTATGTGGCAAAGTACTTCATAGATATAAAGCAAAATCTACAAAAAATTGAATAATTAGTCTCTAATTATTGCTACTTGTATATATTAAAACCAATGTGAATTCTCTGAATCTTATTCAAAGTTTCGACCTCCTTAACCCATGTGATTCTCATGAGAAGAAAGGTTAGGAGGGAGATAGATTTAAAAAAAATATGAAACAGGAGAGTGTATTTTATAAAAAGTACTGAGCATTTTATATAAACTTCCAATTAGAAAAAAGGTAGATTTAGGCTTCTAAATAAGCTTAAGGTTTCAAGGGCCACTTGAAGAAATCTATAAAGAGGAGGATATCAAGAGCAGGAGGAAAGATACACAGTGGTTGCCCAGCTGAAGTAGTACAAGCCTCAAGAAAAAGAATGGTTATACAATGTGACCAGTACTTCCCAATGGCAGGCTCTTTCATATAATGTGTAACAGTAATGATAAACACTCATAGCAATTTGATAAAACAATTATATTTTCCAGTTAATAATCACAGTAATCCTGATAGGAACAAAAGACATTATAATTATCCCGTTTTTAAGGGAAGAAAAGTGAGTTCTGGAGTGTCTGAGCTTGTATATAAGACATAAAGGCTTTTGGAACTTGTTCAGTGATTATGCAGAGAGAGTCTATTTCCGCCTGAAACACACAAAGTAAATTGTGTGTAAGGATCGTCTTTAACAACCCATCTTTTATGAACCATCTATCCAAAAGGCAGGTGCATCGTAACAGCACAGGAAGTAGAAGGTTCAGGAAGGGCATGAGAGCTTTTCTTTCAGAAAAAGATCACATCAATTGCCTTTTGTAACTGGATTACCTTGTGAAAAATGAGCATGATTTAAATTTTTAGTTGCCAGTCAAAATTCAATAAACAAATTTAGTTTGTCAAAGGTGTTTTCTGTATTCATATTACAGAAAATGGGCCACTTAATCTTTAAAAAGTGATAAATGAGTCTAGCCTACATCACTTCTTATTGACAATGCATGCTACCAGGTGGCTGCTTTTGAATCTTTAAAAAATTAAGAAAACATCTAAAGGGAAAAGTAAAGAGTATAATGAGACATACTAACCTCTTACAAAATTCTGAATAAAATTCTGTAACTCCTAAAATATTCATTAGTCCTCTTGTGCTGTATGCCTATCACATCTGTTTAGTTATGCCACCACAAACATGTTCTGTTCTTCTAGTTTGTGACTTCTACTTAATGATGTCATAAGCCTTTCTCAGTACATAGTGTCACCAAGATTCTTTTGTCACTTGGTATATAGTTCTCAGGAAGGGAGCAGAGAATCAGGTTTTTGGGCCTGGATTTTAGTTCTGAACTTGTACTCGTTGATGCTAGTTCTGAACTTGTACTAGTTGATGCACTTCTAAAACTGTACTTAAGGAAACACGTGCATGCCCAGGCCCACCCTTAGCCATTTTAATTTAGTCAGACTTGAGTGAAGCCAGAATACCTGTGATTTTTTTTTTTTTGAGACGGAGTTTCGCTCTTGTTACCCAGGCTGGAGTGCAATGGCGCAATCTCGGCTCACCGCAACCTCCGCCTCCTGGGTTCAGGCAATTCTCCTGCCTCAGCCTCCTGAGTAGCTGGATTACAGGCACACGCCACTTTGCCCAGCTAATTTTTTGAATTTTTCAGAACCCTTGCTTTACAGGTGCCAATAGTGTCAAATCTATGTCACTTAGCCTCAGTCCTCTGGAAAGCCTAGCCTGTAGCAGTGATTGATTCTGATAGTTTATTTTCCAGATACAATTACATTACAGGATATTGACGTAAGGAACAGATGTAATCTCTTGCAACACAGTGTGCTACCATGCTGGCTGCTGCATCACAGCCACAAAGCAACATATCAGGTAATTCATCAGGCTTGTTCAATCAGCAGGAAGGAATTATCTAGAAGGCTTGCAAGGAAGCACTGTATCTCAGAGTAGTACACAGGGGAGAGAAAGGAAAGAGATTTGCCTGGTTGCTGTCTCCGTTTTTCCCTTTTCTTACTGGTAAAAATTTACTCTGGGGAGAACTACCTCTTTCACATTTCTAGTTGCTTCATCTGGTCCTTGAATGACTATGTAGGAATACAAATTTTATGTCCTGTAGGGTGTTGCTTCATTTAATTCCAAAGGTAGGGTTGATCTGGCAACAGGTGGGGTTCCGACTAAGAAAGAAGAAAGTAGCTAAAGTTTATGTCCTTCAATGCAATATTGTCACTGAAGGTGAAGGAGAGATTATTGAGGGGTTATTTCAGCATGTCAGAAAGATAAAGCTGGATTTAAAGAGGGCATAGATTGAGAAAAGACATGAGACACACAAAATACATTGGGAAAATAAAAGTTAGTGTTGAATATTGTTGATCAGCACTTAACATCTATTCCTACCTTTCTATATTCTACCCTGCATTCCAGGAGTTGAAAGGCAAAGAGCTACATTTACAAGACTCTCTTGCTGCTAGGTTTCCGGCCAAAATTCAGGTTTTGCCAGTAGGTAGCACTTGCATAATATGTGATAGAGAGGCTCTTTTTATGTTGCTGTGGCACCACAACCAAGTTTCTGTATATGTTGGTATTGGTGACAACAGTAATTTCTTCATTTTTGGATTACAGCTATAGTGGAGTGACTTGCAGCAAGAGTTGGCCAAATGTAGTGGCTCACACCTGTAATCCCAGCACTTTGGGAGGCCAAGGGGGAAGACAGTTTGAGTCCAGGAGTTTGAGACCAGCCTGGGCAACATAGTGAGATCCTATCTATAAAAAAATTTCAAAAATTATTTAGGCATGGTGACACATGCCTGTAGTCATAGCTACTAAGGAGGTTAAGGTAGCAGGATCACTTAAGCCTGAAAGATTAAGGATGCAGAGAGCCATGACTGTTCCACTGTATTCTAGCCTGAGTGACAGAGTGAGACCTGTCTCTTAAAAAAAATAAATAAATAAAACAGAGGGCCCTGTGACTTTTCCTCCTTCAGTTCTTCCAACTGTTTTGTAAGCACCTTCTTTCTGTATTAAAATCCTTTATGAGTCAAATCCCTGGAGCAGTTTGTTTTTCTTGTAATGCAATAAGACAGCAGAAGCACTGAAAAAGAAGTAGAGCTCACGGAATCTTGATACATAGAGCCTTGTGCTCTGCTCCTCATCTTCATTTATCATCAGCAGAGGATGGAAAGGGTAAGAAACAGCAAGCCTGCATCGTGGGAAGAGACAGTGTTTGGGATGAGGCTTTCAGGTTTGAATTCTAGTCTCAACACTTACTACTTAGTGAACCTTGGACTTTTGTTTCCTCAACCTATAAAATGAACTAATACCTGCTCTAAATAACTTAGATTATGGCTATACAGATTTAATGAGATAATGGATATAAAAGTTCTTTTAACATCTTTAATGTGTCCTAAATTTTAAAATCATAAATCACTAGTACTTTGAGTGATGAATGTTATATGTTGTCACCTGGCCTGGAAATGAACTGGCCCAAACAATTCCAGAGGCAAGAACAACATGCTCACCATTGTGTTCCCGGTTTCTAATACAGGACTTGGCATGAAGCTTGATAAATATTCCTAGAATGAATCAATTAGTGACAGATACCTGACAGCTTATATCCAGACTACAAGTTGCAGATGGGAAAATTAGAGTAGCCCAGTGCTTGTTTTCATTCATGACTAGCCAAGACTGCTCCCTACAGAGTGAGAAGAAAGTTTTTAAGGGACTGTTTGATCAACTCCTGCCACCTTTTGGTTGGTGATTTAGCCCAAGTATTTGGGAGTTGTCAGTGCATTTTTTTTCTAGTAAATGTTTGACACACTCCTCAATATGTAAAGTTTTCTGTCCAAATCTTATCTACAAAATAGAAATAAGGCTGTTAGGAACCTATGGTAAACGTATGAGTGTCTACCTCCATTTCCCACTCATCTATCTCATGAGATGGTGTTGTGCAGTCTTGATTTTCCACATATTAGCAACTCCTGTGGAACATTGTACAGAAGCTGGCCAGGAATGTGCCAACTAATTTCTAACATATTCTAACAGTTCTGTGAGTGATGAGTGATTCTGAGGCATGTAGAAGTTGGGAAGCCAGTGATATGGTGACTTTCAAACTTGTCTACTGAGAAAATATTTTTACAAGATTATGCATGTATTGTCTGTGTGAAACTTTCACAATATGATTTTGAACCTTACCACCTAAAATAAAGAATATTTCCTAATATGTTCTATCCCACTCTATTCTAATCTATTTATACTTTTGTAAAATGCTGGTTATGACTCACCAAACTGATTCCACAAATCCCATGTGTTACTACCTATTGTTTGGAAAATATTGGTGTAAAATGTATTAGACCTAGCTTAAGAAATATGGTCGCTAATAATGTTACTACCTTCCATTTGTGTAAGAAAATCATTTTATACATATTTTTAATTTTCACTACACAAGAGCACAAAGTTGTATATTATGACTCCCAATTTTACATAAGAGGAAACAGATGTTACCTGGCATTATAATGCTACTGAACCACATACTGGAACTACATCCTATTTCAAAGTACACTGATATTTCTGTTATGCATCTAGTTCAGTAGTTTTGGTACAGCTTTTGTCATAAATAGCTTTGTTATTTGTGGTGAGTTATTTCCTTTTTTCACAATTCAGTTGCCCCACTTATAAATAGTTTGAGGATGGGCTGGGGTAGAGGAGTGGGGGACTAGGACTAGATGAGCAGAAGATTGGGATTGGGCTTATTTTCTGCCTTAATCCTGATGAAACAATTCCATTTTACTTTGCAACACACACACACACACACACACACACACACACACACAATTTACTCATTCCTTAAATTGTAAATTTAATTATTTCTCTTTTGATAATAACAGTAATAACAAAAATCAGCAGCAAACATGTATTGAGCATCATTCCAATTCAGGAATGGTGCTTAGAGCTTTAGATACTTGATTAAATCCCCATAATCTTAAGAGTTAGATGCCATTGTTGTTACCATTTGCCACCTGTCTATTATTGATGGGCATTTGGGTTGGTTCCAAGTCTTTGCTCTTGTGAATAGTGCTGCAAAAAACATACATGTGCATGTGTCTTTAAAGTAGAATAATTTATAATCTTTTGGGTATATACCCATAATGGGATTGCTGGGTCAAATGGTATTTCTAGTTCTAGATCCTTGAGGAATTGTCACACTGTCTTCTAAAATAGTTGAACTAATTTACACTCCCACCAACAATGTAAAAGCGTTCCTATTTCTCCAAATCCCCTCCAGCATCTGTTGTCTCCTGATTTTTTAATGATCACCATTCTAACTGGTGTGAAATGGTATCTCAGAGTGGTTTTATTTGCATTTCTCTAATCACTAGGGATGCTGAACTTTTCTTCATATGTTTGTTGGCTGCATAAATATCTTCTTTTGAGAAGAGTCTGTTCATGTCTTTCACCCACTTTTCGATGAATTGTTTTTTTTCTTGTAAATTTGTAAAAAGTCTTTGTAGATTCTGGATATTAACTCTTTGTCACATGGGTAGATTACAATTTTTTTTTTCCTATTCTATTGGTTGCCATTCACTCTAATGACAGTTTCTTTTGCTGTGCAGAAGCTCTTTAGTTTAATTACATCCTGTTTGTTAATTTTGCTTTATTAATTACATCCTGTTTGTTAATTTTGCAAAATTTTGTTTGTTTGCTTTTGTTGCCATTGCTTTTGGTGTTTTAGTCATGAAGTCTTTACCCATGCCTATGTTCTGAATGGTATTGCCTAGGTTTTCTTCTAGTGTTTTTATGGTGTTAGGTCTTATGTTTAAATCTTTAATCTGTCTGGAGTTAATTTTTGCATGAGGTGTAAGGAAGGGGTCCAGTTTCAGTTTTCTGCATATGGCTAGCCAGTTTTCCCAACACTGTTTAATAAATAGGAATCCTTTCCCCATTGCTTGCTTTCATCAGGTTTGTCAAAGATCAGATGGTTGTAGATGCGTGGCCTTATTTCTGAGGCCTCTGTTCTGATCCATTGGTCTACATCTCTGTTTTGGTACCAGTACCATGATGTTTTGATTACTGTAGCCTTGTAGTATATTTGAAGTCAGGTAGCATGATGCCTCCAGCTTTGATGTTTTTGCTTAGGATTGTCTTGGCTATGTGCACTGTTTTTGAGTTCCATATGAAGTTTAAGGTGTTATTTATTTA